AATGTATTTGTTCTAAACACGTAGACCATTCAGTGCTGCTTGGATATGAGTAAAGTTTTGGACAGACTAGATGTACAGATCATGTGGACTTGTACACTTTACTATGTAGTATTTTAAAGGGGGGAGGGGGTATTATGCAAAATCAATGTTTTTGCGCTTTATATCATGTTGTAATGTCATTCCCTAATCAAAAACATATCCAGGATGTTGTTTTGACTGAAAAAGCCTTCAAATTCATGTGGTAGACACGTGGAGCTGCCTGAACACAAAGCACTGCCTGTTTATACATAGCTCCTCCCTGGAGCTCAATCTGAAGCTGGGTTTTCCCCACAGAGCACCCCTCTCTGGAAGCATTGTTATGAAGATGGGCTGAAGTGGAAGTTTTGGAAATCGTAGGAGGTTCTTAAAGAGACAGAGGATAATTTGAAGGCGTTATATGTCAAAATCATTTTTGATATATAGCATTTTCAGAACAACTGAAGGTAACATGGCTACTTGATTGTAGTATAGAATTGAACTATGTGCCTGGAATATGCAAGAGACCCTTTAAACTATCTTTAGGGATTAGCTATCTTTAACACTGGTCATTTTTAAGAAAAAAATTTAAAAAGTCATACAGCCTGTAGGGGACACGCCCATTTCCCCTCACCTCATCTTGCCACTGATTGACCTTTGGCCACCTGAGGCCGAAGCACCCCCTTCACAGACTGAACTCTTTCAGCTCTAATGCAGAGCTATGAAAAAATAAGCCTTTTCACTGTCCACTTTTCTCTTGGGAAAGTTCATGTTCTCAAGAAGTCTGTTATTTTGCTGATAAAACAAGTCAAAATAAACATTCTTTCTCTATTTGCTGTTCTTATAAACGTCTATAATTCAAGTGCATAAACCTTTAAAATGAACGACTTTGTCTGTTTTTGTGTATGTGTTTGATTGATTCATTTTGCTTCAACAACTCCATTACCGAGCCAGGAAGGAAAACTCTCATTAAAAATCATATTCATGGTTTTTAACAGGGGGTTTTCACTACAAACCGCTGAAAATAATTGGGAAATAAAAAATATTTTTACACACACTCTAAGATATGTAGTGTTAAATTTACTTCACCAAGCTAGCTCCATTTAAATCGAGTTCAATGAATTGAACAATTTACACATTTTATTTTAAAGAAAATGTGTAAATTGCTTAACATTTTCTCAACTCAATGTAGTGGAACTAGTTGACATAAATTTGTTTAGTAAATTAAACACTTCATTTATTAGAGTGCATAAACAACTCCTTTCATGATAAGTTCCAGACAGATTTTAATCTGTAACGAGCTGTTAAAATTTAAAGTAAAGAAGTAAAAGTTTCATTTTTAGGTTTTGAATGTAACAAAATAAAGGTAAATACTTGATAAATTGACAAACCCTCAAAAAATTACTTAAGTACAGTTACAACGTAAATGTACTTAGTTACTGTACACCTCTGGCAACAAGGGAATTTCCCTACTGTAGGATTGATAAAGGATTATTCTATTCTATTCTATTCTATTCTATTCTATTCTATTCTAGCCTGGACAAAGACTCCTGCCCTTTCCTCTATAATCTGTGCTTTCTGATTGATGCTCTGACTAATAGGGACTAACTATTGGTAACTATTTGACAGAACGTCACTTCAGTAATCATCAGCCTGTCCCTTTAAGTGAGAAAATAAACAGTGGATCAATCAGTCCTCCAACAGTGAGGAATAATCCTCTCTCACAGTATCTAGCAGAGCCAGTTGGTGGACCTGTCTGGCATCAAGATGACCTGGCACAACGCGCTCTATTGAGTCTTTTGAAAAACTAGGTCATTTGCTGATCTCCCAGTGGACACGCGCAGAGGAAAGAAAATAAACGTGGAGATGGACGGAGCTCGACAGGAGGTGGACAAGCTTCCTGTGAGGGCCTCAGAAGGATGCTGAGAGCAGGGTTAACATAATGCAAAACGGTGATAATGTATTACTATTTCTGTTATCCCCTGTAGCTGATGAGATGATCTTCCTTCTGATATCTCGGCCTTCCTTTCATTGTTCCATATTTATGGGTGTGATGTGGATGTCCAAGGTTTTCCTTGCTGAGTTTAATAATACTTATCTGGATTAATAAATCATGCAGGAATTCTAAATCCTACATGACTTTCATGATGCTTTATTTCCCATAAAGGTGATGTTTTTGTCTGTGCCTATGTGTGTGTATGTGTCTGTGTTTTAGCAAAATATAGCTCGAGTTACTGGAAAAAAAATTGTTGAAACTCTCAAAAAGTAATTATTGGATGTGCGTCTTAAAGTGATTAACTTCTGGGTCAATTCAAGATGGCTGCCACAGCTAAGTATCATTAAAGAGCACAGATATGGTTATAACTCAGTCAAATTTGTAGGTATTGAGCTAAAATTTGTGTTACAGGCTGACATTAATCCCTTCTGACTCATTCTGCAAAATAAGTTTTTTAAAACTTTGTTCCTAACTTTCAGATTCAACGTTGCCTGTTTTTCAGAAAAATATCTAATAATTGAATGGTTTATTTTTAAACTTTCTGGAACATTTTTTGAGAGAACATAATCCAAGATGGCCACCATAGCTAATTTAAGACAAAAATGGCTCAAACTCAAAGGATATTATCAAAAATTATGTGTCAAATAAATGAACGTCCTTCCCAACACCAGCACTGAGCTCTTACAGATCACATTATCTTCTAAGGTTTGAATAAAATGGCTCCAACTCCATCATTTTTTAAAAATGATCGAAGTTTAAACTTTGGCATCCTTCAAGGAATGCTAGATCTTTAATCATCACACTCATTGCTAGCAGGGTAATGTCTGATAGTAATTAAAGCTTGCAAAAATTGATAAACAAAGTTGCAACAGACATGACTTATTGTTCACATCCCTCTGAAGAGCAAGCACACATGCTGCTGTCATCACCGCTGAGACAGGGCTTCTAGAAATATCTGGTGGAAAGTAGGAGTGCAGGAAGTGAGATGAGAGGCGGGAAGTCAGGTGACTTGAGTTTAATTGTTTTGTTCTCCTCTCATAGTGTTGCAGTAGAAACACACTCGTTACAGCCAAACACCGCACAAAAGTCATCCATGTGAAAGAGCCAGATTTCCCTCGGTGAAAATACCAAAGTTCTCTGTCAACAGGTCATAGAGTTATGGAATCGATACCCCGCCCCCACATCCTCCCTTCAATGTGAAACTGAAGCGTATGTCTGCCAGATGTCTGAAGCAAAGAAAAGGGGTTATGAAAGAGTTGAAGACTTCCAGAGGTATCTTATGATATAACATAACACACACCTCCAGAGCCTGCAGGAGCAACGACCCTCCGACCAAATCACAGCCTTTTTTCTGTCAGGATGATGAGTTTTCGAACAAACAGGATGCAAAACAGAACAAACAAAACTGCACTTCCAATGAAAATGAAAGGATTGGTGTGTACAGAACAGGGTTGTGCAAAATTGAAAAAATAAAAAAATCATGATTAATTGTAGCATTTAGCCGATCTTTAGCCGAAAAAAGTGTGACGAAATAAACAATGAAACGGAATAAGCAACAGCAGATTTTGAACAAACTGAAAAATTTGACCCATACAAATATAAAAATATCTTTGCAGTAGGCGGCACGGTGGCTCAGTTGGTAGAGCTGATGCCTCTCAGCAAGAAGGTCACTGGTTCAAATCCCGGTCCGGGGACCTTTCTGGGTAGAGTTTGCATGTTCTCTCCATGCATGCGTGGGTTCTCTCCGGGTACTCCGGCTTCCTCCCACAGACCAAAAACATGACTGTTAGGTTAACTGATAACTCTAAATTGTCCCTAGGTGTGAGTGAGAGAGTGAATGGTTGTTTGTCTCGTTTGTCTCTATATGTGTCCCTGTGATGGACTTGCGACCTGTCCAGGGTGTACCCTGCCCCTCGCACTGTGACTGCTGGATATGGGCACCAGTGACCCACGCAACCCTGAAAGGAAGAAGCGTGTACAGAAAATGGATGGATGGATGGATTTAGCCGATCTCAATAAATATGACGGTTAATAGATAACTGTTGCACTTACATGATTTTCTAAGTCAGTTACACTAATTTTACAATTATATTTACAAATCATCAGTCAAACTAACTTCTTCATTTTAAAAGGGTAAAATAGTAAGATATGAATTGAAACCCACCTTTTCCACAATGTGGAGTGGCGGGATATCTTTAATATATATTAATAATATATTATTTATAATATATATATATATATATATATATATTTAATATGCCACATGTTCACATGTGTGCTTTATAGTGAAACTGAAATGTACACAAAAATATGTCATCACATGGCACTAATTGCATTAATTGGAGTAATTGCAAAGTGGCAAATATTATTTGTTGTCAATTGTTTTTCTGACAATTAATTGAACACAATACAATTTTGATCAACCCTAGCACAGAATGACTGCTGTGATCAGGTGAAGAACGTAAAACTGAGCTGCTGAAGCCCAAAGAAAAACACTAGCTAAATGCTAATTAGCACAACACAATAGATAAATGAGGCAAAACGCAAACTAAATACTAAAATAAGCAAGTTGCTAGATAAAAGCTAAAGTATCTAAATGCAAAATAACATGACTAGCTAAAAAACTAAAAATGTCTAAAAGCTGTCCAAAAACTAAATGTAGCTAAGAGAGTTAGCTAAGATGAAAATATAAAAATGTAGCTAGAAGCTAAAAGTAGCAGATGTCTAGCTAAAATCTGCAAAATGCTAACTAAAAATGATAAGTGTGTCAAAAAGCCAAAAGTAACAAAAGGCTAGCTAATAATAGCAAAAATCTAGCTAAAACCTTAAGTATAAGCAGAGCAGATTTAAAGTAATTGAAGGGACCTCATATTTAGAAGCAGTCTTTTTTAATAAATGCAAATCTTTTGAAAAAATGTAAATGTTTTGTCATGGCAATCTTTATTTAACCAAAACAGAAAAACGTGGTCCAAAAATAAAAAAGTACTCCTTGAAATGATCAATCAGGATTTATTGCAATTGCAAGACACGCAAAAACAGGTGCTTGGTGGTCTGTGTTGGTTGGTGCTGCAGTCTTGTGATCCTAAGGCTGCAGATTTTAGTCCAGGTTGTGTCAGGAAGGACATCCAGCGTAAAACACTTGCCAAATCCTTCATGCGAGTTTGATTGTGGCAACCCCTGCAATAAGGAGCAGCTGAAAGAAAAACAACAAAAGTTTCAAAAACCAAGTTAGAGCATCTGATTTTCCTTCCCTAACTCGTCTACTTTTAGGTCATGTGAGGAAGTAAAAGTCACATTTGTGTATTTCCATAACCAAAGTAATAACGTAAAATCAAGTTTACAGAAACCCACGTTTTCAGTCCAGGAGTCACGTCATGAGCTGTAAACAGAACTGTGTTCATGCTGAGCTCTTTTGTTGAGCTTGTGTAAGGTTTTGTAAACAATATGTGAGCAGGGAAACTTGATCTGGTGACTTGACTGGAGTTAAACCATGTAGCACACAAGTACAGACCCTGCTAGATGGATATCTGCCCTCAAAGCCCCCGGAGGATTTTCGTGAATAGATGAGGAGGAGGGGAGACGGTACCTGACATTTACTCAGGACTGCAGGATAGACAGAGCATTGTCTTTGTTGAAATGAGAAACTGGGCCACAGACAGGCAAACGAGGGAGAAACAGGGCGGTGGAAGACAACCTGATATTAATCTAATGAAATAATAGGAACTGCTCTGAAGTGGATATCTAGTATATCTAGACTTTCCACCCCATTGTCAAACTCTGTCTTGACCTGCAGAGGGCCACGGACATGAAAACACACAGCAAACGAAACACAAAAAAAGGCCTGACGTTCTTTTTTTTAAAAACGTATTGTAAGTTATTTGAAATTTTTGGTCAAACCTTAAAAATAATGTTACAATCTTATGCAATATTGCAATATGTTACGCTCAATGTACTAATGGACGACTCTCAGCTACTACCACATCAGATTTTAACCTCAGTATCTGTAAATCCACTGAATTAAAGCCATTTTTGTGTTGGCTAATGTTCATGTGACTGCCATTTTGATTTGAATTGATTTCTGTTAACAGCTGTACAGTTGGTACATCCAATCAAGATATTATGCTAACATTCCAATACAAACACACATAGAAACATCATCGTCCTCCTTTGCTTTGACAGGTAAAATAAAGGTGAAACTTTAGCATGTTTGATCAGGCAGAGATTTCTTTGTAGGGTTTCGGGAGCAGAAAGTCACTCCTCCACGGCTGCTGTTATTCTGCTTCTTCCTTGACTAATGGAGAAATAAACACCAACGGAGAGCCAGACAAACACGGCCCACATGGCCGACAGAAACAAACATATATGGTAAAGTCCGAGCCAAGCAGCACAGGCTGTCCCCCGATCTGGATGACTTTGCCGTGTCTGTCTGTGCGCTCGGCCAGAGCAGCGAGCTTCCACAACAACAGCTCAGAACTCTCAGCTTCCAGAGAGAAAAGAGGAAGAGAAAGAAGAAGTCAAGAGCTGGTGAAAGGAAGTGAGACTGAGGCCAGAGAAACATCTGCTCAAGATCCTTTTTAGTGCAGTCCTCCCCTTCTCTTCTTGTTTGTCCATGAGTCAGGGACACAAGCCAAACACATGCACACACGCACATGCACACACACATACACACACACACACAGAGAGAGAGAGACAAAGAGACGCTCAGAAGGAGAAGTTAATAAGTCAATAGGACACGGCTCCATATCTTATTGGGCCTTGTTTTAGCAGCGAGTCCAGCAGAATAATAAACAGCACAGACACAAATCAATGTTATCTTTTCACTCATGAGGGTGAAAGGAGCGAAGCCAAAAAGAACAAAGAGGAACAAAAGAACAAAAAAGGAAGAGAAGAAGAAGAAAAAGGAGGGAATGGGTTGAATGAAAAGCCCCCTTCTGACTCACACTGACCCACATACATTTACCCAGCTTTTCTGAGCCTCGCTCGCTCTTGGCAACCAACGGCCTCTGTGAAAGAATCCCAGCGTTCAGCCAAAGGCAAAGCCCGTGTGAGGCCAGGGGGCCGGGGC